ACACATATATAATGAGATAATATTTGCTAATATTTGGTTTTGATTATTTTTCCATTTCTTTCCTAAGTAAGAGTGGTTTATCACTTTTATTTCTTTCATGATCCTCTCAGGATTTGTCTAGAAATTTTTATGTTTTTAATACCTCTGTTTCTAGTCTGTAAAATGGTTTGTATATTATGGAATGATACAATTGTAGAATTTTGGTAGAAATCATCTGTAAAATAATCACAGCTCAGGGTTTTCTTGGGAAGATTTTGATACATTTATCCAATTTCTTTAATTGTTAAGAGATGATAGGGCCTTTTAGAGTAAGGTTTAGTTTCTCAATAAAATTGATCAATTATGATTAATCATGTTTGTTAGCACAGCCCGAGTTTACTATTCTTTATATATATTTATATATCATAGCACTAACTTATGTTTTTTTTAAATCTAATCTCTATCTTTTTACTGCTTCTCAAAAGTAATTATAAGGCCAAAATTATAGTCCTGATGGTCTAAACATTGGAGAGCACCGTGCTTCTTGATCCTTTCTCTACAAATGATAGAAAGGATTATGTATTAGAAAGTATATGATATTCTATGACTGCTGTAAACATAATTACAAATTTCTTCTCTTGCAGTTCTGTGGCAGTGGACCCAGACCTTGTGGCCAAATTCAAGGTGCAAGCAGGGCTATCTGTATTTTTCTCTGGAGGCTAGAGGAGACAGAACTTCTTTGCTTTTCCATGTTCATATGTTTTCATGTGTGGCCCCTCCCCTTCCTTCCAAACCAGCTATGAGTTGTCTCCTTATCACATTTCCTTGTGCATTTCATGAGTGATCACATCTCCCTCTGACTCAGAACTCACATATCCCCTTTTCACTTTTTCTTCACAACCCTTGTGGTTTACTCCAGGATATTCTATTTTAAGGTTCATTGAATCACAGTCCTAGTTCCATCCACAATCCTAATTCCTGAGGATGGAACTTCTGAGTGAGTATTATTCTGCCTATCATAGAAAAGTAAGGGAGCTTCACTCAAAATACTCACCATATTTCATCCAATATAATATCAAACATTTTAACTGAATTATGACAAAATTAAAATAAGCAATTGATTGTGAAATGAATCCCAATTTCAGAGACGTTAAAAGGTATATGTACTTTAAAAATCAGTTGCTGATTAAAATGCCTAATGGAATTTTGTCTTCCAGTATCTATACATCTACCTACTGACCTACCAAACTATCTCCCTCACCAAAACTACAGGAAAAACTGTGTGATAAATGGCATAGTAAAAATGATTTTTGCTTTATACCTTCTAAGTAACTTTTCAAATAAAAGTCACATAAATAACTTCAATTTATCAATGGAAGCATCTATATATAACACCCCATGATGTCAATGAAGCCCAATTCATTTAAAATGTATATTCCTTTTGACTTAACAAAAGAAAAATAGTTTTGATATTATAATAAGATATAAAATGTATTTCTGAGTGTATATATTTCCTATTTCCAATTTTATTCTGTAACTTTATTCAAATATTTTTCTTGTAGCCATAATTATATTTATATTTGTTTCTACCATATGAATGCACCATGACATAAAAGAAAGATCATTCTCATTATAGTCAGAAGAGTTTGGGTAGAGGCCCAGCATTACCACTTTCTAACAGTGATGCTTGCAAATTTCTTACCTTTCCTCAGGAACCAGGAGATGTGCTAGAAACTGCTGCACTTTGAATGCCAATTAACAATGAACCACTTTGCAAGTGTTATTATGAAGTAGATAATAAAACCTCCATTTAAGAGGTGTGGAACCCAAGCTATTAGAGTGTTAGATAAGTGCCACTTTCACATGAGTAATAAACAGAAGTATAATATGTCAAAATATATTCTACTAAAAAGAATAAATTTTTTAAAAACAAAAATGAGAAAATAACTAAATCTAGATGTTTGACTTAAAATCTATGATCTATTTGTTTTATCTCACAGCTTTCTTTTTTGTAAAATAGTAATGATAATAGAACTAGAGAGCTCAGACTTTGAGATAATTAAATAAAATGTCTGGGAATGTATTATTGGAATTCTAACTTTGCAATACAAAGTTTACTATTCCTCTTAAAATACAGGTATTATTCTCCATTCATAACTCAAGTTAATAATATAAATTCAAAACCTTTAACTGCTATCCTTCCTTTCTTGCTCTGTATACAGTAAGAGTAAGGAAAAATGTCGAAGTTATCATTCAACCCCATATTATTCAAATCATAAAGTATTTTTTGTTATAGTATCCAAAGGGAAATAGGATGAATTCCTATGTTACAAATAAAAGATGAAAGAAGGGGCATGCTGAGTTCAGAAAGCATCTGATAAAAACACAACACTTTGTATTATATAGGGAGACTTTAAAATGTGTATAAAAATTTTATGGATTTTCATCCAAAATGTATTTTGCTATGTTTTACTAGAAATTACAGCATCTAAGATGATTAATAAGCTATATGTATTTATTTAATATCATTTTGCACAGTGCCACTTATGAGTTATTTAAAGTAGTCAAACTTTTAGAAACAGTATTCTTATCAAAAACTGAAAAAAAAAGATAAATCCATTAGGAATTACCATAAAACATCTCTTGGTAATACAACTTTCCTAACAGATCTCCAAAAAATTGTAATCATTTTTTTGTAATTTCTCATTGACATACAATAATGGTACACATTTACGAGGTACAATGTAATAATTTGATGCATAGACTGCTATGACCCATGACTAAAGCAGTCAGGGTCACTCCAGGAGTGACACAGACACAGAAAGTACCTTTTTCTTGGGGTTCAATGACTGCTCTGCTGCCCCAGTTCCCACAAGGGAGGCAAAAGAGGCAGGGAAAAGAGAGCGCAGCCTGAATCCTTATTTATTAGGGGGAAGACACTTGAGAAAGTTCCACCCAAATGAGTAAAGGAATTGGGTTTCAGGGGGGTGTAGTCCAGGCCCAGGCTGTAATTCCTTGCTAAGTGAAGATGAGGTCTACCTGGTTTCACGCTGCCAGCAGAAGCCAGTTCCACACCTCCATCACTCAAGGCTAAGGGTATGTGCTCAGTTCCTATGTTCATGGTGGCCTCCGGCAACATACAATGTGTAATGATCCAATTTGTTTAATTTTTAAATTAAGTCAAAGAGAATTTTTTATTAGCACTTTTTATTAATGTTAATATACTTGCTGCATATACGTCTTTTCTTGTGAATAAATATGTAAGCATCGGGGAATATTTTGGCCTTAATCTATAAGTCACAAATAAAAGACCTCAACTGGATTAAATAAGAAGAAGATATATTGGCTCACATATCAGGAAATCTAAACATTAGACTGGACTTCAGGGGTGGATAATGTAATGTTTCAGCTAGGTTAGCCAGGAGAAGGATCTGTCCACCTCCCCCTTCTGCAGTGTAGGTAGTCAGATTCATCCCAACACTGGCTTCTATTGTGGTTATAGTAATCATGGTGGCATTTCTCCAATTATTATACATACTTACAGTGGGGACATTTAGGAAGCAATTCTAACCACTAAAATGTTCCTTTTATCAGCTCAATGAGCCCATCAGAACAGAGGTTACATGTTCCATCCAGGATAGTTCCTATATGGTGGCTGGCTTAGGTGGGCTCCTGAAATGAACCCTGGATAGGCCTGGACTAATCATAAAGATATTGCCTGACATTTCTCTCCTTTGGTCAAGCAAAGCAAGACCTCGCCGATCTGCCCCTTTTAAAGAGAGAGTCTGTAGGAGGGGGAAGATAGCACAGCATGTCAGTGCAAGAAAAGGTACCTATTTTGAGAAAAGCTTTATTGATGATCAAATGTTTCCATGGTTAGGGTGATTAAAACTGCATAAAGTTTTGATTTCTGGAGATTCAGGAAAGAATAGAAAAAAAAATGCAGAAAGCAGGTTAGTGAGGTCACACTGGGAGTTTCATCCCTGAATCAGTTCAGCTTCTCCCTAACTGTGTAGCTCTTTATGCTCTTGGTCCCTTAGGCACCAAATATCCCCATCATCATCATCATATTTCCAAATGACCTCATAACCACCTACTTTATATTAGTTTAATTATTTTGAACATTTTTATCTAAGATTTTAAACATAGAAGGAAGTTAATGAGAGCTAAAGTTAAAGGAAATAGTTTGAATTATTTTTAAAATATCTATAACTATTTATTTAATTTCATTCATTTTTATTTATTATTCATTTTGCAATGAACAAATGACACTACAACCGATGGTTAATTTAAAATATCATCCTTCAGAAATGAAGCCCACTTGATATGCTCTAGATTATGACACAAATACATTTTACCAATTATACCTTTTTACATAAAACTATATGACTTAAATAGAAAAAAAACAATATTTGAGTATTTTTGGACAGGTAAATTGATTTTATATAGATGCATTTATTTTAAAATATAAACATATATATGGCCATTCTCTCAAAATTAGAAAAACCATGAGTTATAGATTCTACTGGTTGAATGGTTATGTTTTATGGATTTTAGATATCCAATTTAAGAGATGGAAAATTTGCTGCTATATGCACTAAGAATCCTTACAAGTCAGGCAAATTAGATGGTCTTTCTTCTGATACACTCTGCAAGTAACTTCAACCACATAAAACAGAAAAATAAATCAATATACTTTGTCCTGAGTTACCAGTAACTATAGAATTTTATCAAATGTATGTGTTTATCTTTGGAAAGTCAACAAAAAAGAATTGATAATAGTCTTAAAGTATCATTTAAAAATTGTCTCCATATATAGCTAATACATGACTTGAACTGATTTTATTAATAACAGAAGTATTACCCAATGATTAAATATGTTTGTGGAATATATATTTCTCTAACATTCTAAAATATTTCTTTAAAACTTCCACACTAAATATTTTACTATATTTAAAGCATCCATATATTCAAAGTCTCCAGAATTCCCCCCAAATGTGAAAATGTTAACACACACTTACCGACAGTGTCACAGGGTTCATCTTTATGTACACAGAAATCTTTCCTAGAAAGAAGAGTAGAAAATCAAAGTAAAGATAAATTTATTTGCACAATCAGTAGATATCACGTGACTCATTTTAATAGTTATGATTAAACACATCTTTTATCCCCTAAGTATTTAATAAATAAAATTCAGAATAAGATTTAACTAATCATTAATTCTAAAAAAATGGAAGATTAAGATTTCATGGTACATTTATAACTAATGTTGAGACATTGTCTCTTGTTTTAAATTTTTGCAAAATTGCATGTTTTATTTTAAAACAAATAGTATCTAGTGTTTGAATAATATGGCTTTCCACTTGTATAACTATTAAAAAATCTCTACTTCACATGACAAAAAGATTTTTCAGATTGGAATTTTAAATGTAAGGAATAGAATTTAGAACAGCATAACGTTTTTATATCATAAGATTAGAAAATAATTTTAATGGCCAATAATCTTCCAATAAGGGCCTGAGGTAATTAGTATTTACACAAGTGGAATCTATCTATAAATAATATTCTACAATTTTACTATATCTTGAAGAGCATTCCTTAGGAATACTTCACTCTTATTACCAGTTACTTAGGATATCACAGGCCATAATTTAGTAGAACTTAATCATTAAGCAGTTTGAGATTTAAAGCATGCTTTACAAAAATCAAAACATTTTATGTGCCTCTTACTCTTAGGCAATCACTTCACCTTCTTGTGCCTAAGTCACCTCATCTAAAACTTAGAATTAATAAAAATTTATCACATAGTTTGATTATGTAGGTCAAAAGATTTAACATATAAAACATGTAAGCATGTTTATTGTGTAAGTTGAGTGAATTATTTCATATAAGCCATTAAAACAATGCCAGGCATACAGTAAACACAGTCAATTTAGCTATTTACATTTTTCTGTGTATTTGTTTCCATTGCTGCTATCCTTTTACCATAACATGAGCAATTTTCTATTGTTGAGCATTTAGGTTCTGTTAAACATTGACCATTATAAACAATATTACAACATTTCTATGTATGTGTGTGAAGGAGAAAATAAAAACTATCTTTAAAAAGGAAATTCCTCTTTCAAAGTATCTGAATGCCATTCCTAAATGAGAAAAATGACTTTAAAATATTAGCATGATACTCCTGCCAACTCTCCAAGGATATCTATATTAATAACTAAAATGGCAAATTTTCAGTTACAACTGTTTGGCTGATCAGAAACATTTATGATTTGGTAACTACATATAATTTTGCAAATTTCCTTGCATGATTGAATGTATGTTGTATATTTGCAGCAGTTTCATCCATGCTCACTAGATTCAGCTATTAGCTGTTCTGATAGGCAATTCATTAATACAATAAACAAATTAGAATTGATCAACACATCTGTTGCTGAGGAAGTACTGCTGAAAATCCAGAGTGGTTATAAATTCTTTTGACTTTTCCTTCTTGTAGTTTACTAATTTTGCTTTGTTTATTTCAAAGCTAAGTTATTGAGTATTTAAACTGTTTTGCATTGTTTTAAATTACTGTTTGAATTACTGTGTAAAATTCATATTTATCCCTTATATTTTCTTTGTTAAAGATTATTATGTCTGATATTGATAGATATTAAGATATTAGTAATACATGGTTATTTGCTTAGCCAATCTTCTTTTTCACTTTTAAATTTCATTTTGAGTCTACTGCAAACAGCATATGGTTAAAAATTTAATCTATTAATATAATAGTCTTAAAAGTAAACTTAATATTTTCTCCTCCTCCTCCTCCTCCTCCTCTTCTTCCTCCTCTTTGGATTTGTCTATAATCTTACTTGTGATCTCTATTTGCCAAGCTATATTTCTTTGTTCCTTTCCTATTTAGTTTTATTTCCCTCTCTTTTATCTAAAAGTGCTTTAAAGCAATATTAAATTGTGTTTCCTGTGTGGCTACATTTACATTTTAAATAAGAATCCATTAGTTTCCTGTTTTGCTGCAAAAAATTATTATTTGGTAGACATAATGCATATTTATTATTTTACAGTCCAGAGGTAACATCTGAAATGATTTTTGCTGGGCTAAAATCAATGTGTTGGCAGTATAGTGTACCCCCAAGAAGCTCCAGGAGAGAGTCACTTACCTTGCATTTTTCAACTTCTAGAGGTGGCCAAATTTCATTTTATTTTTAATTGGTGCATTATAATTATACTTGATAATGTGATTCATGTGACCTATTCATACATGCACAATGCATAATTTGGCCCATTGCATTCCCTGTAATCCCCTTCCTTTTCCTCCTCCCTCCCTTCATCTCCTTCTCTAGTCTAATGGTTTTTAACTCCTATTTTCACAAGGTCTTTTTTCTTTACTTTTTTCCCCCTCTGGCTTCCACATATAAGAGAAAGCAATCCTTAATTTGAGTTGCTTATTTGGCTCTTCAGTACCATCTATTTTCCTTTAAATGACATAACTTCATTCTTGTTTATGGCTGAATAAAACTTCATTGTGTCTTATATACACACTCTATTTATCCATTCATGTGTTGACAGAGACCTATGTTGGTTCTGAAACCCTGCTGCCAGACTTATTGACCTGTGGTCCCTTTTCAAGCCAATTTCCCTCCAATCCCTGCTCCCATCAAAACATCTCTCTCTGCCTCTCTCCTGTATACCCTGGGATTGTATTGCATCAACACTAATAATTCTGGTCCTTAACATAAACTTACCTACAAATTCTTTCAATTATATAATTTTTTTTAAGGTTTTAGAGATTAGAGCATGGACATTTTTGGGAGAACATTATTCTGCCTACTGCATGAACTTTTAGTGTTGAAAGCTAAAAATTATCTCGTATAGTCATCTTCTAAAAAAAACACAAAGACATATTGTGCTTTTAATTTTTTATTGTTAATTTTTTTTTATTTTGGGGGTGCAAGAAATTGATCCCAGGGTGCTTAACAACTGAGCCACATCGCCAGCCCCGTTTTGTATTTTATTTAGAGACAGGATCTCACTGAGTTGCCTAGGGCCTCGCCAAGTTGCTGAGGCTGGTTTTGAACACATGACCCTACAATCCCAGCCTCTGTAGCCACTGAGTGTGTGAGTGGATTATGGGTGTGAGTCACTGCACCCAGCCATATTTTGTTTTTAATCAAATCTCATCCTCAATCTTTCATATTTTTAAATCTGACACTGGAGTCTTGCCTTGATTTTGTGTGTGTGTGTGTGTGTGTGTGTGTGTGTGTGTGTGTATGTGTGTGTGTGGTGCTGGGGATTGAACCTAGGCCCTTGTGCATGCAAGGCAAGCGCTCTACCAACTGAGCTAAATTTCCAGACCCTTCTTGATTTTTTAAGATCTCAAATTAGAAGTTTTTAAACCATCAGTGCTTATTTGGCAATTTTCTTATGTATTTAGAAAGCGTTTTCTCAGTTATAACTTGTATATTTACTATGTACATGGCACATTATTTTTTTAAAGAGGGAGAATTTTTTTTAATATTTATTTTTTAGTTTTTGGAGGACACAACATCTGTATTTTATTTTTATGTGGTGCTGAGGATCGAACCAAGTGCCCCACGCATGCCAAGCAAGCGCGCTACTGCTTGAGCCACATCCCCAGACCAACGGCCCATTATTTTTAAGTGCGTGCTTTCATGAAGACTGTGAATAGTAAACTTCTCAGTTTTGTGTCCTTCATTTTTATTATTTTTCATTTATTCATAACAGAGCAGGAGGTTGACTTTATTATCAGTACACCAAAGATATTACTTCTTTTTTTCTAGCACTCCTAAAACTGGATTAGAAGTCTGCCATCACAATTTTTTCTCTTCTTTCCTACATTTGGTCTCCAGTTAGTTTTAATGTTTATTTTTATCTTTGTAGTTCTTCAGGTCCACCTAGAAATCTCTGAATGCTGATACTGTTTCTATTTCTCTTCTTTCATATTTGGTTTATCTTTCAATCTGAAAAACTGAAAATACAAAAACTGTTATCTCTGACATTCTCTCTACTCTCTTATCCTAGAACTCCTTTAGGAATATGTCCTTTGTGTTTTTTTTGACATCTATTAACTCTCAGTCACTGTCTGCATTCAGATTGTTTCACCAATCTGTGGAGAATCCCAAAGATGTACTATCCGTTCTACAGGTGCTTTCTTCAGCTACATCTTTAACTTCGAATTTGAAATTTAAAGTGTAAATATCATATTTATTTTCTGGAAATTTTATTATTTTTCATCTTTAAAAGCAAATATTCTTCCCAAAACATCTCACACTCAAGAGTTAAAAGTTTTTCTTTTTAATCATGTAAACTTTTGAATTTTATAATCCCTGTCATTAATTTTTAAAATTATCAGTCATCGTTTTGACTCTTGGTCACGATAACAAAGGAACATGTTCTCATTGAGCATTTTGGAATTCTATTAAGAACTCATTCAACTGTACTTTATTTGTAGGGGCCTTATGTGGTGTAAGTTAAGAGAGGGTCCCTGCAGAGCAGTTTTGAAAATGGTTTCACTAAATGCTTCATTTTTGGAATCAGATTCACAGAAATAAAGACCTAAGCAACCATTTTTCCTATCCTGAGGTCATGGATGACAAAGTGATTCCTGGTTCATAACCTGTGTTTGCTGGCAGAACTTTCAACACATCACCGTTTTATGAAGAATCGAGGTATCTAAGAGTCACAGTTCTCTGTAATCACTTCAGGTCCTCTTCCAACTTTGTATAGTGCCCATGTGGATGTTCAAACCCCCAAACCAAGATTACTTGATGCAACAAACTCCCTCGGGGAAGTGGCCACATTGCCTCAGCAGCTGACTGCATTTGCTGCCGTGGCTCTTTTTGACTTATGTGTGCACATGAAAGGTTGTTTCACATTTTTTCTATAGCTTATAGATGTCAAAAATGGGAATATTTTCTGATTGTCTTTTCAGGCAGATAACCATGTAGTTAATTTTTTTTATGTTTTAGATATTTATTTATTTATTTTAATTTTTTTCCCATTTTTTATTG